AAACGAGGCCTTTAAAATGAAATATACCATTATATAGTTTTGAAGATTTATGGATTACATTTCCTTATTAGTTATGACTTAACAATGTGGTAATTTTCCATGGTTTAATAAAGGCATCAATAAGATAATTTAACAAGTTTGTATTGCTATTATGAGAATGATAGTGAATGAGATTTTTTCCTTCACACTTCACAACATTAAAATAAATGTATTTGTTTTATGGGCTAATTGTAACAACATACACACACTACATAATATTTATAGATAACTCTTTGGAAAAGACTTTACATCATGGAAAAGTGTACTGAAAATCAGCTGCATAATCAGCATCATGTTTTACATTTTTTTTAATGAAGCCACAGCTAAGGTCCCTCAATATGACTGCAGGAAATCAGAAAAAAAGATTGTCACATAAATCGTTTACTATTATTGCACAAAATTTCAAACAAATATCAACAAAACAAAAGATGCACACGTAAGATACATATCAAATGTGAAATCGCTTCAGGCTTGTAAAAGTACCAAACCTGAAAATCTGAAAAAAGAAGCATAAACTTACAACTTCATAAAATAACAATACACAGAGACTCAAAGAGAAATATTCATAAGCCTCCAGTAATAGCAATGAATGGATCATAGTCAAACTATTTACTGCCACATGAATTCAAATTCTGATAAACATTAATAATGTGTCTGAAAAGTTTCCAGTTGGATATCATAATGCGTAGGAAAACACACATTGCAGTAAAAGGCAAAGCATATTTGCAGAAATGTATGTCTTTGTGAGTCAGCAACATATATGAATAAACATGATCATTACACTGAACTAAAAAGTACTAAAGAAAGTTTCGTTTTAAACGAGGCCTTTAAAATGAAATGTACCATTATATAGTTTTGAAGATTTATGGATTACATTTCCTTATTAGTTATGACTTAACAATGTGGTAATTTTCCATGGTTTAATAAAGGCATCAATAAGATAATTTAACAAGTTTGTATTGCTATTATGAGAATGATAGTGAATGAGATTTTTTCCTTCACACTTCACAACATTAAAATAAATGTATTTGTTTTATGGGCTAATTGTAACAACATACACACACTACATAATATTTATAGATAACTCTTTGGAAAAGACTTTACATCATGGAAAAGTGTACTGAAAATCAGCTGCATAATCAGCATCATGTTTTACATTTTTTTTAATGAAGCCACAGCTAAGGTCCCTCAATATGACTGCAGGAAATCAGAAAAAAAGATTGTCACATAAATCGTTTACTATTATTGCACAAAATTTCAAACAAATATCAACAAAACAAAAGATGCACACGTAAGATACATATCAAATGTGAAATCGCTTCAGGCTTGTAAAAGTACCAAACCTGAAAATCTGAAAAAAGAAGCATAAACTTACAACTTCATAAAATAACAATACACAGAGACTCAAAGAGAAATATTCATAACTACCTTAGGTACAGATGCTTTTTTTCCTGAAATGTTTGGAGCAATGATTTAAAATAGATTTTTTTTCTGAGCAAATACATGTATATACATTTCCTAATCCACAATAACTTCTTTGAAACCTAATGTAGGTTGAAGTTTTAGAAATGATCTTTTCTTAAGCAATCAAAGCTACAATTTATTTTATTGCTCTATGTGTACTCTCAATTACATACACACACACATATGATTAGCTCTAAAATACAACTGTCATTGGGTTTTTACAAATAAATCAGACAAGTTATAACACGAAAAAAAGAATATTATTTCTCACGTTTTATATTAAAATTCTAACTTTATATAGCTTCTGTTGTGCAACACTCAGTGTAAGGCAAAGGGCTCTGCATGATAGGAATAAAACTGATATTACTGAGATTTTGAAATTGTATTCATTTGCATATCATTAAATAACACAGTGGTTCCCAACCCTGGTCCTGGAGGCACCCCGACACTGCATGTTTTGCATGTCTCCTTAATCAAACACACCTGATTCAGATCATCAGCTCATTAGTAGAGACTCCAAGACCTGAAATTGGTGTGTCAGAGAAAGGAGACATGCAAAATGTGCAGTGTTGGGGTGCCTCCAGGACCAGGGTTGGGAACCACTGAAATAACACACTATAACTTTTCACATTTAATTTTGACTACATATGTATAAAGTCAACAGGTTGTCATGGATAAGTTTTGCATATAAGCAAATGTACATATGTGTACATTTCATCCTGATAAAGGGGATTTATGCAAGATCAAGGTTGTGTCAAAGTGTGTGTGTGTGTGTGTGTGTGTGTGTGTGTGTGTCAAGGCTGTTGCTGATACTGGCTCTCTGTGGCAGTGTAAAAGTCCTCCAGTATACTCTGCAGGTACTCAAAGGTGGGCCGGTCCTCTGGCTTGTTCTTCCAGCATTCCAGCATGATGTCATAGAGCTCTTGAGGGCAGGAGTCCAGACGCTGCATACGGTAACCTCTCTCCAGAGCACGGATCACCTCTGGATTTGTCATACCTAAACACACCATAAACACAGAGTTTCTAGCATCAGCTGTTACCATATATTAGTTTTGGGTAATTCTCTGGAAACTGTGCAATTTGATCTTAACAATTCAGGATTTTTCAAAATTGTTTTTGTATAAAAATGTATAAGGTTACTGTTGAAATTGAGAATTGAAATTGTTGAAACCATAGCTAGCTAGTATTACTGCACCAGATATGATAAAGCCTGAAACTTACTTCTGTCTGAACCAGGTGGTGAAAAATAATTTTATTTTATAAATAATTATTTATTCCAAATATTATGACAGGAAAAACTAATTATTATTATTTAAAAAAAAAAAAAAGAGGAAATGTCACAGTACAACAGGGTTGAAGTGAGAGTTTCTTATAAATGATGATGAATAGATACATGCAGATTAGCTGCTATTCAATTGAAAAACAAAGATTTAAAAAAATGCACTGTAAAACTACCGTTAAATATATTACTGTTACTGTTATAAAAGTTTGAGGTTGGTAAGACTGTTTTTGGAAAGAAATTAATACTTTTATTCAACAAGGATGCATTAAATTAAGATTTATATTTCATATTCATTTTCTATTCATTAAATAATACTGACAAAACATATCATGGTTTCCATAAAAGCTGCGGCACAACTGTTTTCAACATTGATATTAATAAGAAATGTTTCTTGAGCAGCAAATCAGAATATTAGAATGATTTCTGAAGGATCATGTGACATTGACAGTGATGCTGAAAATTCACTGATGCTGCCATCACAGGAATACAAATATATTAAAACAAATGATTTAAAAAAACAATTATTTTAAATTGTAATGATATGTCACAATATTACTGTTTATAATATATTTGATCAAATAAATAAAGCCTTGGTGAGCATAAGAGATGTTTTTCAAAATTTGACCAACCCCAAACTTTTTAACAGTAGCATAAAGTGAGTTTGTTTCACTCAGTTATTACTAAGTAAGTTATGTGAACTCAACCATGAAGAACTGAAACAGTTATTAGAATGTGTTATTGCTAGTTAATTCTAAGAAATTTTTGTAGGTTTATTTGATGTGTCTAATTTTTTTAATGGGTCATGATGGGCCTTTGTTTTTTTATTTTGTACTGTTCTTTGAGGTCCACTTATAATGTTCTCAAGATTTTTGCATCAAAAAACATCATAATTTAGAAGTAATAGGCTATTTTCTCATCAGAAAATCACCTTACTCATCAGAACACACTGTGTGGCAGATTGTAGACTCGGAAGTAAATGCCCACTGTTGTGATTTGCTAACATTTGTGTATATTTGACAGCCTACATCCTTCACAGATGGATGCTGCTGTGATTTAGGCTAAAAACGCATAAATATTCAGTACATATCAAACGATAATAACAGACAAAGCAATAGTACCCACGTAATGAAAACAGTTACTCACACTTGTATGGTGCGAAATTAATGTCGGATCAAATATAGTCGGCATAGCATCGTCTTTCAGTTTCAATCTTTCTGAAAATCCTGCGTCCAATTGTGCCTTGTTTGTAAACGAATCCGCGGTAAAATGAAGTGAACAAAAGACTAGTTGTTTAGACTAGCCTTAAAAAGTTAGTCATCTAATTTTTTTTCTTCAAGGCTGGTAATACATTTTTAAATTCAGTTATGAAAAGGTAGATTGGTCTTATTTGTATTGGAAAAGTAAGACTGATTACCCCTTGCCAACTACTAGTTGGTCAAACTAGTTCTTAAGACATGGTGGCTAAGTTTATGCAACTGACCCCAGGTTCTTACTGGCGTGGTCTAGAATTTCATTAAAAATAAAGTTCATCAAATAAAGCTTATCGTTTGGTTTCCACGCAGACCTGCATTTGCCGCTTTTGTTATTTGATACTACATGCACGAATCGGTGGGCGGGGCTAAACAGGCAGTGATGTCGAAGCAGGCGTTGATCTTCTTCTGCGGAGGCAGTGCTTATCCACACTATTACATCATAGAGTAGCAGACTGGCTTCAATATAAGCTGTTTTTAGACTTATGAGAAAGTTTTGAGTTCTGAAACTTACAGGATGTTTTTATAGTACAATGACCTCGTATGTCAAAAGATCAAGGGAATTTTGGTTTCTCAGGTCATGACCCCTTTACTGATTTTTACTGAAGTTAAGTTTTATACACATATAGTTAAGTAAAGCTTATAGTTTAATTTACTGTCAAGAAATGTACTTTTTCAGAGTTTTAGTAGAAATTAAATACATTTACATTACTCTTTAATTATTTTTTTTTAAATACATTTACATTACTTTTTATTTAAATGTTTGATAATGCAGTGACAATGATAAGGCAGTTAATTTAAATCGAATTTAAAAAATACACATTTTTAATTAACTTAACTTGTTGAGTTTTGAAAACAAAGTTAAATCAATTAAACAATAGTTCCAAATCCTAGAAGTCATAGAGATACAAAAACAAGGAGATACAAATGGCACAGATTCCAGACAATGACCTTTATTCACAGTGCACTGTGGTGAACACTAACCTGGATACGGTGTGCGACCATAGCTAATGATTTCAGTGAGCAGAATGCCAAAGGACCAAACATCTGATTTAATGGTGAACGAACCATAGTTTATGGCCTCTGGAGCGGTCCATTTTATGGGGAACTTTGCACCTTAGGTCACAAAAAAAAATATTAACATGACTTCCTCTGACAGTAACCTATAAAGAAACATGCATGTATCCAGTTTACCAACTTAAATTAACTTGGTTTCTCATCATTATTGTTGGCTGCATATCCCACTAACCTTCTCTGGCAGTGTATTCGTTGTCCTCTATGATACGGGCCAGTCCGAAATCAGCAATCTTACACACTAAACTCTTGTTGACCAGGATGTTGGCAGCACGAAGGTCTCTGTGAATGTAGTTTCTCTGCTCAATGTAAGCCATGCCTTCTGCTATCTGAAGTCAGAGAAAAAAATAATGTTTTAGTTTAATGATGTGCTTACACTGGGTTTGTGTCACTGAGAGCAAGAGGTGCGATAAGCTATAATGGTGTGCATGTGTGTGTGTGTGTGTGTGTGTGTGTGTGTGTGTATCTCAAGGCTGTTGCTGATACTGGCTCTCTGTGGCAGTGTAAAAGTCCTCCAGTATACTCTGCAGGTACTCAAAGGTGGGCCGGTCCTCTGGCTTGTTCTTCCAGCATTCCAGCATGATGTCATAGAGCTCTTGAGGGCAGGAGTCCAGACGCTGCATACGGTAACCTCTCTCCAGAGCACGGATCACCTCTGGATTTGTCATACCTAAACACACCATAAACACAGAGTTTCTAGCATCAGCTGTTACCATATATTAGTTTTGGGTAATTCTCTGGAAACTGTGCAATTTGATCTTAACAATTCAGGATTTTTCAAAATTGTTTTTGTATAAAAATGTATAAGGTTACTGTTGAAATTGAGAATTGAAATTGTTGAAACCATAGCTAGCTAGTATTACTGCACCAGATATGATAAAGCCTGAAACTTACTTCTGTCTGAACCAGGTGGTGAAAAATAATTTTATTTTATAAATAATTATTTATTCCAAATATTATGACAGGAAAAACTAATTATTATTATTTAAAAAAAAAAAAAAGAGGAAATGTCACAGTACAACAGGGTTGAAGTGAGAGTTTCTTATAAATGATGATGAATAGATACATGCAGATTAGCTGCTATTCAATTGAAAAACAAAGATTTAAAAAAATGCACTGTAAAACTACCGTTAAATATATTACTGTTACTGTTATAAAAGTTTGAGGTTGGTAAGACTGTTTTTGGAAAGAAATTAATACTTTTATTCAACAAGGATGCATTAAATTAAGATTTATATTTCATATTCATTTTCTATTCATTAAATAATACTGACAAAACATATCATGGTTTCCATAAAAGCTGCGGCACAACTGTTTTCAACATTGATATTAATAAGAAATGTTTCTTGAGCAGCAAATCAGAATATTAGAATGATTTCTGAAGGATCATGTGACATTGACAGTGATGCTGAAAATTCACTGATGCTGCCATCACAGGAATACAAATATATTAAAACAAATGATTTAAAAAAACAATTATTTTAAATTGTAATGATATGTCACAATATTACTGTTTATAATATATTTGATCAAATAAATAAAGCCTTGGTGAGCATAAGAGATGTTTTTCAAAATTTGACCAACCCCAAACTTTTTAACAGTAGCATAAAGTGAGTTTGTTTCACTCAGTTATTACTAAGTAAGTTATGTGAACTCAACCATGAAGAACTGAAACAGTTATTAGAATGTGTTATTGCTAGTTAATTCTAAGAAATTTTTGTAGGTTTATTTGATGTGTCTAATTTTTTTAATGGGTCATGATGGGCCTTTGTTTTTTTATTTTGTACTGTTCTTTGAGGTCCACTTATAATGTTCTCAAGATTTTTGCATCAAAAAACATCATAATTTAGAAGTAATAGGCTATTTTCTCATCAGAAAATCACCTTACTCATCAGAACACACTGTGTGGCAGATTGTAGACTCGGAAGTAAATGCCCACTGTTGTGATTTGCTAACATTTGTGTATATTTGACAGCCTACATCCTTCACAGATGGATGCTGCTGTGATCCATCGCCCCTGAGGTGAGTGCTCAAAGACGGCCTTGTGTTGGATGAGAAAGGAGAGCCAGTGGCCTACATATTTCATGCATGTATAATTCGGGGCAGGCGTGGCCTAATGTTTAGAGAGTCGGACTTGTAACCCGAAGGTTGCGGGTTCGAGTCTCAGGTCCGGCAGGAATTGTAGGTGGGGGGAATGAATGACCAGCGCTCTCTTCCTCCCTCAATACCATGACTGAGGTGAGACCCTTGAGCAAGGCACCGAACCCCCAACTGCTATGATTGGCTAACAGTTGTGTATATTTGACAGCCTACATCCTTCACAGATGGATGCTGCTGTGATTTAGGCTAAAAACGCATAAATATTCAGTACATATCAAACGATAATAACAGACAAAGCAATAGTACCCACGTAATGAAAACAGTTACTCACACTTGTATGGTGCGAAATTAATGTCGGATCAAATATAGTCGGCATAGCATCGTCTTTCAGTTTCAATCTTTCTGAAAATCCTGCGTCCAATTGTGCCTTGTTTGTAAACGAATCCGCGGTAAAATGAAGTGAACAAAAGACTAGTTGTTTAGACTAGCCTTAAAAAGTTAGTCATCTAATTTTTTTTCTTCAAGGCTGGTAATACATTTTTAAATTCAGTTATGAAAAGGTAGATTGGTCTTTATTGTATTGGAAAAGTAAGACTGATTACCCCTTGCCAACTACTAGTTGGTCAAACTAGTTCTTAAGACATGGTGGCTAAGTTTATGCAACTGACCCCAGGTTCTTACTGGCGTGGTCTAGAATTTCATTAAAAATAAAGTTCATCAAATAAAGCTTATCGTTTGGTTTCCACGCAGACCTGCATTTGCCGCTTTTGTTATTTGATACTACATGCACGAATCGGTGGGCGGGGCTAAACAGGCAGTGATGTCGAAGCAGGCGTTGATCTTCTTCTGCGGAGGCAGTGCTTATCCACACTATTACATCATAGAGTAGCAGACTGGCTTCAATATAAGCTGTTTTTAGACTTATGAGAAAGTTTTGAGTTCTGAAACTTACAGGATGTTTTTATAGTACAATGACCTCGTATGTCAAAAGATCAAGGGAATTTTGGTTTCTCAGGTCATGACCCCTTTACTGATTTTTACTGAAGTTAAGTTTTATACACATATAGTTAAGTAAAGCTTATAGTTTAATTTACTGTCAAGAAATGTACTTTTTCAGAGTTTTAGTAGAAATTAAATACATTTACATTACTCTTTAATTATTTTTTTTTAAATACATTTACATTACTTTTTATTTAAATGTTTGATAATGCAGTGACAATGATAAGGCAGTTAATTTAAATCGAATTTAAAAAATACACATTTTTAATTAACTTAACTTGTTGAGTTTTGAAAACAAAGTTAAATCAATTAAACAATAGTTCCAAATCCTAGAAGTCATAGAGATACAAAAACAAGGAGATACAAATGGCACAGATTCCAGACAATGACCTTTATTCACAGTGCACTGTGGTGAACACTAACCTGGATACGGTGTGCGACCATAGCTAATGATTTCAGTGAGCAGAATGCCAAAGGACCAAACATCTGATTTAATGGTGAACGAACCATAGTTTATGGCCTCTGGAGCGGTCCATTTTATGGGGAACTTTGCACCTTAGGTCACAAAAAAAAATATTAACATGACTTCCTCTGACAGTAACCTATAAAGAAACATGCATGTATCCAGTTTACCAACTTAAATTAACTTGGTTTCTCATCATTATTGTTGGCTGCATATCCCACTAACCTTCTCTGGCAGTGTATTCGTTGTCCTCTATGATACGGGCCAGTCCGAAATCAGCAATCTTACACACTAAACTCTTGTTGACCAGGATGTTGGCAGCACGAAGGTCTCTGTGAATGTAGTTTCTCTGCTCAATGTAAGCCATGCCTTCTGCTATCTGAAGTCAGAGAAAAAAATAATGTTTTAGTTTAATGATGTGCTTACACTGGGTTTGTGTCACTGAGAGCAAGAGGTGCGATAAGCTATAATGGTGTGGGTGTGTGTGTGTGTGTGTGTGTGTGTGTGTGTGTGTGTGCGTGTGCGTGTGTGTATCCTCTTATCGGTGAGGGCAGATTCACATCTGTCCTGTTAAGTGCTTGCAATTCTCTTCCCCTTTAACTTATGGTCGCACCCTTTTATTTTTGCAACTGTCACACACACTTGCATTCAAAATCCTCACTTGAATGAAACACGTCATATTTACCTAATATTTCCTAATATATCTTTTTGTATAACTTCATTATTACCCGATTCTGAATGTATATTGGTGGTCAAAACTTTGGAATAATGATTTTTTTAAATGTTTTGAAAGAAGTTTCTATGCTCACTAAGCCTCTTATGCTCAGCTGCATTTATTTGAACAAAACTACAGTAAAAATGTAATCATGTGAATATTCTCACAATTTCAAATAGCTGTTGTCTGCTTAAATATATTTAAAATATAATTTATTCTTGTGATGGTAAAGCTGAATTTTCAGCATCATTATGCCAGTCTTCAGTGTCACATGATCCCTCAGAAATCAATCTAATATGCTGATTTGATGCTCAAGAAACATGTATTATAAGTTGAAAACAGTTTCATAGCTTAATGGTTTTCTATAAATGCAGTCTTTGTGAGCATAAGAGACTTCTTTTAAAAATTTTAGTTATTTACGTTTGACCGCAAGTGTATATTTCGATATTTTAAAGAATCACTTGCACAAGAGAGAACAAACTGATATTATCTTGGATTAACAGTGACAGAAAGTTAAAGGATTTGATTGTCATGTTAATGGTGGACTCAACCCTCTCTCTCTCTCTCTCTCTCTCTCTCTCTCTCACACACACACACACACACACACACACACACACACACACCTCTGTACACAAATATTACTGTCTGTCGGTTATCGCATTTGAATATTAAAATCTACAAAGGCAAACCTGTCTTCCACATCAAGGGAACGTGACTCTGTATGTGGGAGGAAAGCACATGAACTGAACAAATGAGATCTTCAAATCGCCTCACCTGTGCTGAGAAGTCAATCAGTTTGGGCAACTGGACACGATTCCCTTCATCGCTTTTAATGAAGTCCAGTAAACTGCCTGTAAAACACAGGCACACAAACAGATAAATAACAGAAATATAAAGCCATGCTCTGCACAGTGGAGTCTAGAGTCACACACACCTTTCTCCATGAACTCTGTAATGATGTATATGGGCTCCTCTTTGGTGACCACAGCGTTGAGACGGACCAGTTTGTCGTGCTGGATGGATTTCATTAAGTTGGCCTCCATGAGGAAAGCTTCCACAGACATACTGCCAGGCTTCATAGTCTTCACTGCCACTTTTGTGTGCTTGTTGTATGTTGCTGAGAAGCAAACACAGATGAGTTACACTGGAATTCTTCATTTTCATTATACCATTATTAGTGTCTGCTCCCTGCTCAAAGCGTGACAGGACCTGAGAAACTGCTGGGTTTCAGATTGGGGTCAGTTTTTTAGCTACAGCTTCAGGCTTTTTTCAGGTTTATAATTACTGAAAAGTTTAAAAAAGGTGTGCGCATCCCATAAACCTGAAGGCTCAGGTGCAGGACAAAAATAAGGTCAATTCAAACGAAACAAACAAAATGTCCGCACACTGATATGTGACTGCTCTAAAAAAATTTATTGATACTAGTACAACATTTCGACCATCAGGTCTTCATCAGGCACCTTTATAATATTTATTCATTATAAAAATAATATATGTATATATATATATATATATATATATATTATATTATATTATATTATATTATATTATATTATATTATATTATATTATATTATATTATATTATACTACCATCAGGTCTTCATCAGGCACCTTTATAATTAATGAAAACAAATGATTTATTACTGTAATAAGTTGTGATTGAATAACAGTGTCATTGTGATTCATATATCAATAATGTACATTTTGTGATTGTGATGATTAATTTAAATGTAAGTACATAGTAGTTAAGGCCACCTAATATAAAGTGGGACCGTATTTTCTATTGATAAAGCAGTAAGACATTCAATGTTCTACCTAGTGTAAATCTTACCATGTCTCATGAGACTTATTGCTTTGATAAAAGCCACAATTATTAAATGTTTACACACACACACACACATCATTTTATAATGTTTATATCTAGTGTATAATAATTTTGTTTATATCTCAATATTGTTTATATCTCTTTTTTATTTATATTATACATAATGAACATAAATTATTAAATATATTATATAATAAATATAATATATTATAGTTTATATAATGAGAATACCATATATATACAGTTGTACTCATAAGTTTACATACCCCTTGCAGAATGTGCAAAATGTTAAGAATTGAAACAAAATAAGAGGGATCATGAAAATCGCATGTTGCTTTTTATTTAGTACTGTCCTGAATAAGCTATTTCACATAACAGATGTTTATATATTCTCCACAAGACAAAATAATAACTGAATTTATAAAAATGATCCCATTCAAAAGTTTACATACCCTTGAATCTTAATACTATGTGCCATTTCCTGGATGATTCACGATATTTTTTATCGTTTTTTTTCACGTTTTTATATTTTGTGATAGTTGTTCACGAGTCCCTTGTTGGTCCTGAGCAGTTCAACTGCCTGCTGTTCTTCAGAAAAATCCTCCAGCTCCTGCACATTCTATGGTTTTGAACCCTTTCCAACAGTGATTGTATGATTTTGAGATCCATATTTTCACACTGAGGACAACTGAGGGACTCATACACAAGTATTACAAAAGGTGAAAACATTTACGGATGCTCAAGAAGGCAACACAATGCATTAAGAGCATCAACAGGATGATGATGATGATGTGTAAATTCTTCTCATTTTTTTTGAACAATCATATTCTTTCATTTAGTACTGGACTTCAGAAGCTCCATAAATACTTACATGTTTCCTAGAAGACAAAATAAGTACAATTTACCCTGATCATCCAATTAAAAAAGTTTACACCCCCTGTCTCTTAATGCATTGTGTGGCCTTCTTGAGCATCAGTACGTTTTCACCTTTTGTAATAGTTATGCATGAGTTCCCCAATTGTCCTCAGTGTTAAAAGATGGATTTCAAAATCATACAGTCAACGTTGGAAAGGGTTCAAATATGCAGAAGATGCTGGAAAACCAAAGAATGTGCAGGAGCGGGAGGGTTTTTCTGAAGAACAGCAGGCAGTTGAACTGCTCAGGACCAACAAGGGACTCATGAACAACTTGTTATATACTTGGCGTATTAATATAGAATGTTAGTTCACTGGCATTTTGCTGCCAAATGCCTGGACACTTCAAATCCGACTTTTTAGAGTCATAACCAACCATTTTAGTTCTGTATTTTACACTGGAAAAATCTTTCAGATCCTACTAAACAAAGCATACTGCACAGCAACAGTTTTTGGAGTAAACAGACACATAAGAAATACATATCAAAGCAAGCAGTACGTATGTGTCTTACCCATCCAGACCTCTCCAAACTGGCCTGCTCCCAGACGTCTGTCCAGTTTGAGGGACTCACGTGGGATCTCCCAAGCATCTTTCTCCCAAGGTTTCTGAGGTTTGGGACTCAGACAGGGAACAGTGAGAGATTGGCACAACCCATCGCTCTGCTCTGTAGATGCAAATTTATACAGTTTGTTAATTGTAAACCAGCTGAGTAAACAATCCTTCATGAAAAAGGTTGGTATATTATCCAGTGAAATGTGTCCAGATATTTGCATTTGTGTATTGTACTTACTCTTGTAGTGGCTGACCAGATCCTGCAGGGTGTTGAAGGTGATACGTGGAGAAATATAGAAACCGCCATTATCCAGCGTGCGGATCTTATAATGCTTCACAGCGTCTCCTGTTTGGTCGCAGTCTCTGACAGACAGAGAGTAGCTTCCTGAGGGGGCGGGGGATACAGATGATTTTAAGGGCAGATAAGGATCTGGTAGATGTGTAGCTGAAGTAAAAATGTTACCGCTATAAGAAAACAACACTGCTAATGCTTCAGTATTACACTCCTTGCCTAAAATCCTTCAGCTTTAACACTGTGCTAAACGTACCCTTGGTGGTTTCACTGTCTCTGATCATAAAAGATCCTATTTTGTTTCCAGATGCCAGCAGCTGTCTCTCTGCATCCTTTCTGCTGACACCTTTAAAAAACCACCTGTAGACATATACATAAATAGATGAACAATTATATTAAAAAACCATAAACGTTCAAAAGTTTATTGTGCACAGTAAGGCTGTTTATTTGATCAAAAATGCAGTAAAATTGTGAAATATTATTACAATTTAAAATAACTGTTTTCTATTTTAATATATTTTAACATTTATTTTTGTGTTGCAAAGCTAAGCCATTACTTCAGTGTCACATGATCCTTCAGAAATCATTCTAACATTCCAATTTGGTGAAACATTTCTTAATATTATCAAGGTTGAAAACAGCTGAATATTTTTGTGGAAACTGTAAAACTTCTCTTTTTTCAGAATTCTTTAAAGTTCAAAAGAACAGCATTTATTTGAAATATTTAGTAACATTGTAACCCTTTTACTGTCACTTTTGATCAGTTGAACGTGTCTTTGTTAAATAAAAGTATCAGTTTCATTTGAATAGTGTACACACACACACACACACACACACACACACACTATAAAAATATTATATTATATTATATTATATTATATTATATTATATTATATTATATTATATTATATTATATTATATTATATTATATTATATTATATTATATTATATTATATTATATTATATTATATTATATTATATTATATTATATTATATTATTATTTTAAACAATCTTATTATTATATGTGACCCTGGAGCACAAAACTAGTCATAACGGGCCAATTTTTTGAAATTGAGATTTATACATCACATGAACACTGAATAAATAAGCTTTTCATTGATGTATGGTTTGTTAGGATAGGACAATATTTGGCCGAGATACAACTATTTGAAAATCTGGAATCTGAGTGTGCAAAAAAATCAAAATATTGAGAAAATCGCCTTTAAAGTTGTCCAAATGAAGTTCTTAGCAATGCATATTATTTATCGAAAATTACGTTTTGATATATTTGTGGTAGGAAATTTACAAAATATCTTCATGGAACATGATCTTTACTTAATATCCTAATGATTTTTGGCATAAAAAATCGATAATTTTGATCCATACAATGATGTATTGTTGGCTATTGCTACAAATATACCTGTGCTACTTATGACTGGTTTTGTGGTCCAGGATCACATATTATAAACAACCTTTACTGTGAGATCAATGGCACCACTACAAATGTACACAAACTATATTTACTCACTCTTCAGTTTCCAGAGTATCCTTGGCAACATAGTTACTGGGGATGAAGCCCTCCTGACCAGTGCTAAGAGATGCTGCTTTCCACCATTCACCTGACCTAAACACACCAATCAGTCAATCAATCATTCAATAGGTCAAAGAAGTGAGATACTGCATGTTAAATCCTCATTCAGAATGACAGGTTTACTTACTCCTGAAGGATTTTGAGTCTGTCTCCTTTCTTGAAGCCCAGGTCACCTTCATGCATAGCTTCATAGTCATACAGAGCTATGGTAATGTTCTCTGAAGCTAAAGGCAAATGGAATCTTTAGTGTGAAAGAGCTGTGATCACACATTCACTATGGTTCTGAGTAAGAAACAGACTGGGGTCACACGACAGTGTTTATAACAACACTTGCTGTGAGTTTAGCACGATTCCAACAGGGTACAACGGTTTTAAAGTGTGCATACTTTGTATACAGCGATTAAGGTTGAGAATTAATAGCAGGCATATGCACTGCCAGTGCTGCAGCACACACTGAGGTTGAATGAAATGCATGTGGAAAACAGTGTACTATCTGCACTAAACCTCAAAACAAGCTACTTTTTCATGTATACGACACATCGAATACCACATCCCTGAATGTTTTACTCTTGCTCACGAGGTCAACCATATGAGTTGAAATGTGTATTTTGTTAAGTATTTCAATATTTTACAAAACTCTAACATTCTGAACGAGACATCCTACCTATTTACTAGAAATCAAAGACAATTTCACTTACTATCTGACCCAGGAGCTGGGTTGGAGGTGGTTCTGTTCTGTAGATGGTAGAAGAGGTGCAGTATTTAAAACAGCAAACTAGACATTTCAGTTCTCTTTTCTGAGCACAAAAACAGACCTGTCTGAGGCAGTCTTTCAAATAGAGGATATCTGTTTAAATAAATAAAAATGTCAAGCTCTTTTTAAGGTCGTTATGTAAATCAGGTAGCAGCAGCTAGAAGCACAAGCACAGAGCGGTGTTGATACTGTTAACTAAAACTATTACAAATTATGTTTTCAGTAATTGGAATAAAGCTGAAATGAAATAAAACATTGTATTAGATGAAGAACTTAAAAATGAGAAATGTTAAATTAAATGTTAAATTAAGTAAATCTAAAAAGAAGTATTCAAATAATATAAATAATAATAACATTTAAAAATAACCAAAACCTGGACAAAAATAAAATGTGACCCTGGACCACAAAACCAGTCTTAAGTCGCTGGGGTATATTTATAGCAATAGCCATAAAATACATAGTATTGGTCAAAATTATAAATTTTTCTTTTATGCCAAAAATCATTAGGATATTAATTAAAGATAATGTTCCATGAAGATATTTTGTAAATTTCCTGCTGTAAAACTTAATTTTTGATTAGTAATATGTATTGCTAAGAACTTCATTTGGACAACTTTAAAGGCGATTTTCTCAATATTTTGATTTTTTTTGCACCCTCAGATTCCAGATATTCAAATAGTTGTATCTCAGCCAAATATTGTCCTATCCTAACAAACCATACATCAATGGAAAGCTTATTTATTCAGCTTTCAGACGATTTATAAATCTCAATTTCAAAAAATTTACCCTTATGACTGGTTTTGTGGTCCAGGGTCACAAATGTAAAAATACAAGTGCATTCAAAATATTATATATAATATTTTATTAATATATGCAAAGTCAAGATGATCATACAGCTGAGACTACTCTGTCTCTCAGACTCTAAGAAAGTGGAAGTACAGTATTTGAAGTCACAAAATGTGCTGAAACAGCCAATTCTGATGGTTTAGCGCAACTCAGCACTTTTCAGTAAGGAATAACCCTGAAAAGATGTCTTGTCAATTTAATTGGAAATTCCAAAATGCTTCTACTTACAGCTTTGGAGCCTGCCGTTGGGTCTTTGGTGTAATGTGCTGTCTGGTTGCGATTGTCATCGCTGCCCATTGATTTGCCAATAGGATCCTGCTCCGGTTTGGTCCCCACACAGCCCATGTTGAGGCCTGAAGAGTTAACAACAGAAGACACTAATGCAGGTTGTCCTTGTACGTTTAAAAACAGAACAACATTTCCAGTATAGCAAATATGCAAAACATGGGTTGTTCTGAGTTCCCACTAAACAAGACTTATTTTTGATGCTCAAAAAGCATGTATGGAACAAATTATGATGGAAAAATGCCTGTAATGTGCCATATATGACTCAAATTGTATTAAATGCCACGTTTTCGGCCTACTGTACAACAAGATGAACCTAAGAGGATACGTCTGATTAGTATTTCCAATATTATGAGGCAGACATGATTTCCCAAAATCATTGTAAGCCTGTGTAGATTGTAGAGACCCTTGGTGCCATTGGTTGCTACAATCGGTGTATGACTCTTTTGGGAAACGTAACCTTGACCGATAAATGTAGTTAAAGTCAAAATAACCGGTTTCTCATACTGGCTTCCATGTTGTAGGCTGAAGTTATCTCTCGCCTGTGGTTTTGTCATTAACTCGCTCACACATGCACATGAGGAAGCTGCTCAATGGAAACTGTGGTTGGTTAAGGCCTAATGTTCAAAGCTGATTCAAATCAGCTAGCCTTAACACCCTAACACTTTTCTGAGAACGTAGCAGAAATTAATCAACCAAAACGTCTGCCTCTCATCAAAAATAGATTCCAACTTGGTCGATTGTTGGAAGAAAAAAAAGTGACTTTTTCCTCACTTTTGAACGAGAAGTGAGCAGAAAGCGCATGTTTTTGAGCTCTTCGGCCTCTCTGTGGCTATCGCCTAAGAATAAAGGAACTTCAACTTCCATCTCTTGTCATGAGAGTGCAGTGTGCTGTTATGGTGCAGGTTCATGTTTCATTTCATGCTTGATAATTAACTTATTCACTCTTAATCTGGACGTGCATGACCCTACACAAAACCACAACCAAAACACCAAATTTCATATCAGTGGTCAGTCTGTTTGTTCGGAAGATAACCAGGATAAATAAGTAAATTGTAGAAATGTCATTAAAGAGAGTCTAATCAGCTGAACACTGAATCGTAATTTAAGAACTGCTAAAGTTGCATCCTTCAGTAGATGCAATGGGTTTGAGAAATATGTGGTGCATTAAAAACTTGTTTCCTGTAGCTTGTTCACCCATGTTCTGCTTTCTCTTTATTTGAAGTTGTTTCTTGTGTGTTGCTTTTGAGTTTGAATGCTTTTTTTAGTCTCACTGGCTTATCAGGTCCGTTGTGAAAAACAAGTGCATTGAATTTGATTAAATGTACACTTGTAGTATACTTCAAATCTTCAAAGTATATTTTAAATAAACTGTGCTTGATAATAATATAATATTACTGCAATAAATGCTATTGAAGAGAGAGTACACTTCTATGACAATGCTTCCTTTAAAAAGTGCACTCTGTAATAATGTCAAATTCTTAACATTATTAATGTTAAATGTTAATGTTTTACTTTAAAGTCTGAATAAATACACTAGCATAGTAAAGCACTTAATTTATAGTTTTTTTTTCATAAATGCTTGACAGTACTTCAACCAAAATTCAAAGACAATAGAATTATGAACTTGCATACAGTATAAAGATTTAAGTCCTATTTATGTGGTTCAAAAAAGTTGAATGTCCGTAAACATAACTTGACATTTTGTCCTGTATCTTTATTTTATTTTATTATTTACATAATAAGTACTCTAATGAAAGGTATACTAAAGTAGTTCTTTTCACAGGGGAGTTGATGTTCAGGTAGTCTCCTCTCAACCTGCTTAATTGCTGTCTTGATCACAGGTACATTTCCTTCTTCCGAATCCGATAACTGATCATACCCGGAGGAAATTTTCAGATTTGCCTTTCGACAGTGCCACCCATCCCATCCCACCCAAAGATTATTTTGTCCCTCAAAGCCACAGAGCTGAGAGGAACCACCTCCACCTTTCCCACAGGAGCGCCGGGAAACTCAGAACTGCAGCTCTTTTCATTTAACCACACATGCAAATGTGGGATGTGTCAGTTCCACCTTCCTTGTCAGGACTCTCTCAGTGTTGTTTTCTTTCCCAGAAACATACTGTATGTGCAAACTGTCAGATAACACCACAGCTGACTGACTTCAGCAGGCCAACAGCCAATAGAGAAACGTGAAATATTACTGTAAAAAGTGTTTTTGAGTGTCCTTTTACATGAGGAGATGGATCCTCTGAGGAGGAAGATAAATATTTAAATGTGTCCTCTGATATTGTTCTGTTCTGTAAAACTATAGTGAACTATGGAAGTACCAGTTTAACTAAAGCTAAAGCATGATATTATTTCAAAGAAACGTGAGGGTTCCTCAAACACAAGACTGCGTAAAAAAAAAAACATGTAACCTACTGGATTTGACACAGTGTGTCATGCTTTAGAAATGAATCCAAATAAACAATTCAGTAAAAGCATAAACAGCTAGGCCTAAATCGTGTGATGAAATAGCCTATGGGTCTGATGAAGTAGATCTTTTTTTCCTATCATTATTATTAGGCTATTAATCTAAAAGAGACCGGATTTTAGTTTACAGAGAAACGACAAAAACAGGTCGGAAATCTATAAAAAGTAGCTTATGACAAAAACTCTGAGTAGACATATTAAATTAATTTTAAATGTTAATAATAGGGCTATTTCATTTAGGTGAATATGAAACGTCGTTTAAAAAAACGAACATCGAAAATCAGCTTTAGGGTCTGAATCGACTTAAAGTCGAAAACACACACACACACACACACGCACACAAAAAACAATGATATAAAATAGAAATTATGAAACATAAAAACCTAACTAAATAAAAACACTAAGAAGGTATGTAAAAAAAATATATTTTAAGCGAACTTACCACTTAAATTGCAATCCAGAAGAAAGGTATATTTCTTTTTTCACAAAATCTCGCTAGTTAACCGAGATGTTGAAGCCGCTTCACACCGGCTCCTCCATCATACTGATGCGCTTCTGTGTCTCATAGTGAGACTGTCGTGCTGTACTGTCCAAGAGGAAGTTAGGGGCCGTGTTTCAAAAACTACTGAGATGCCTTCCTAGGCAACAGTTTAAAACACCAGGCGCGCTCCGAGTCAGCTCAGCTCATACATACACACTGAACCCATCCGATTCATAACGAGCTGATAAAAAAAAATAAAACAAATCAAGCTCTAATAACGCTTAAAATGCTGTCTAGGTAGGGAGCTCAGTGAGTATTGAGACACCCCGTAGTCAGAGTAAATCGGTCATAAATATTCCACTTCAATATCCGCATGCCCTATTCACGCAATAGTCTTCGTACAACACTGTGAAACCAGGGTATTTTGTGTGAAGGTTGCAAAAAAAGCTGTTTAAAACCTTTTTGCAACGTCACATCACTTCTGAGAAAGAAAAAAAAAACTTCAGTCAAAGTATCATTCACATTTTGACAAATAATAAGAGCGATTTCAAATATAAGTGATGATAAAGTTAAAATAAAAGGGAAAATGTAACAAAAAAAAGTAATAACAAAGGCAGATTTAGACAAGATTTGCTTGAGAACAGATTAGAAGAGCGAGCTGAGTGTATCTATAGTGCACAATCACAGACAGAAACACACAGATGTATTATTGGATTGGAAATAGACAAACAAACAGTTGGTCTGGCCTCACAGTTACATAAGGCCAGAATAATCCCCTATCAAATGGTGAGATTAAACACCCTCTTCTTTTGAAAGAGACAGAGAAAAAGAAACATAATAAACAAGCATATATATAAATCTACCTCTTCTTTAATAAATACTAAGCCAAAACAACTTCATTCTCAATATGCAAATACTTATAAGAGAGAAAAGAAATCGGACACCTAGGAATATTAAACAAAACATATATGTGCATGGATCAAACAAAACATTCCTATTAGAAAATTAGAAAAGAGAAGTCAGGTGTGATATGTTGATGCAAGGGTTTTTATTAGGATTTCTACCTTTGTACTTGAAACTCATACACCTTTCTTCAGTATACAAAAGTAAGTAAGTTAAGTGTTGTGGTGATCGGCATGTTCAAGTGAAAATTCTGAATTGTTCCAATGACTCAAAGCACTGCTCTTCACAGTGAAAATGATTTACCCTCTTCCTGCAACAATGCAGGTGTTTCCCACATCCTAAACCATTACAGGTGATAGTTCACAAAGTATGACCACAGCCATCAGTTTATGCAATGGTCTTATAATTGTATTTAATTCGATAGACGTTAGTTGAGGAACTAATGTATCAGAGGAACTTTAGTATTAGATAATCTCCAAATGATCTCTAACTATCTAAAAATAGTGCAAAGGAAAGGTTTACAGCTAGTTTGAAACAATGGTACAGAAAGTTAAAAAAAGTATACTTTTTTCTTCACAGTTTTACCCTTCCTCCTTTTGCAGCTTTTACAGCTGCAAGTGGAAAATTCACTATTACAAAATATATGCTTGACATCTCAAAAAAACCAAAAGGGGAAGCCGAGGGTTTTTCATTTTGTCACATCTACAAGAAGCAGGCTGTAGTACTCAGACAGAGACAAAAATAGATGAGATGCAACGCCTTTTACATGGAAGAGAGAATGAATATAAACTGAGAGCTGACATGACAATGTTCACAACACACGACAGCAAGCAATTATATGTACTCATGTTATACAGTATGTGCTTATTAATAACTTGTGAAAAGAGGAAGAAGAAAGTGAAACCGAAGAAATAAAAACATATCTAGCTGATAAGTTTAAGAAGCCCCCTTGTCAGTAAAAACAGCTGGCTTCCTGTTATTGTACAGCTAACGATTGCTGGGAAATTGACTCAATGAAGTAACAAATTCATCCAGCACAAATTTACCCATGTACAGTATGAACGATATAGCTGCACATGCTACTAATAGATCTTATTTTAAAGTCTGGACTGCATTATGTATTCTGTTTGATACATGAGAATTATGTTGACAGAGGTGTAGCTGAAGTCTAGTGTTGGTTTTCTGGAAAACTAAAGCGAACACCAGAGATTCGAACTTGGAAACTGGCGGCGAAGGGTGAAAGCAAAAATGGGTGTCTGCATAACCACAGCAACTAGATCATATCTGAATCCATTGCCTGTATATAAAAAAAATAAATATATGAAGTAAAGCGTTTGTGAAAATACTAAGCCAAGCCAATTAACATAAAACAGAGAAAAACAAATGAGACCTTCATCCTTGCTCTGAGTCTACATGGTTTCCTTGAGGTCCCCTGCTCAGACGAATTTTCTTCTCCTTTAGTGAGCGCTGGGAAAAAGCTAAGGCAAAACAATAAAAGTGACATTTTAGAAGATGCTAAATGTATAAGTTGAATCAGCTTTAAATAAAAAAATAAATGATTAAAATATGAGCTCTTACCATCAGTATCCTGCCCAAATCTTTTTCTGCTCGTTTCAAGGTTATTGTTCTCTTTCTCCTCTTGCTCCATTGGTCTGCTGCCATGATCGGACAACTTCACCACCAGCCACAACAAAGCAGAAGTTAGAACTGATCTCATAAAGCTGTTTGAAATTTAATGACATAACATAAATTCAGTGCTAAGATTACCTGTACTCCTGATTTAAGTGTCTCCATAACCACAACTGCAAGGCAAAACAGTCCAATTCAACTTAGCACAATTCAAATAAACCTAAACCAACCAACAAGAGTGAAGCTTTACCTGGTTGCAGGGAACTGGTTAGCGGTGGGATTTTCTTCTTCTCTGAGCTGACAGACGTTTCAGCTGCTGGAGATGTTTTACCTTCCTTTACCTCTTCCTTTTCCTTACATGTTTCCTGTGCTTCCTCCTGCTGTGTAATGTGAATCGAACATCACAGGCAATTTTATTTGCATACTCGTAAATTCAAATATGTACAGAGTTTGTTGCTAAAACATGAATTCATTAGGTCATTTTAGGACAGTCGTAGGCATGTTGTGCTAATTTGTTCCTTTGTTTTATTTAAATTGTGGCCACAACTTAACAACATTAAAAGAAGGAACGAAACAGTACACTGTGGCCTTGATTTAACAAAACCACAATATCTATTTTTTTCTATATGCCCAGGTATATCTTCATAAACAGGAACAATGCAAACACAAAGAAACATTAGTCTGAGCCCACATGAAAAAATACTATAGTAATTTACTAGTTAAATACTATAGTGAACCATACTATAGTAAAGTACTTGAATTAAATTGTTGTGGCAGTCCTATAGATGATGAGGCGATATATAAAAACTATAGTAATATAAACAAATTACTTTACCTAATACTGTACAAAGTTTTCTACAACTATAGGGTATATTATACTACAATACACTAGTTCACTGTAGTAAAAACTAAAGTATACTACAGTATTTATTACAGTTTACCAGTTCACTATAGTTAATACTACAGTATGCTGTAGCATTCATTAACAAAGTGTTGTAAATACTATAATATTTACAGTATAATACACTTTATTATAGTATGGTTCAAAAACTATAGTATTTACTATAAATTACTATAGTATTTTTGTTTCATGTGGGAGTGTGCAACAGTTAGTATACAGTATACAAAACAAAGACAAAGCAGAAACTTTTCCATGTCAAAGAGCAAGGAATGCTATTCGTGCAATATCCTGAATGCTTGATCAAAACTGCATTATCTTGTATTAGCTAATTTTAAAAGAAAAGCTTTTCTTTTTTTGCTACACTGGTAGCCTGCTTTATTGAAAGCAAACTAAAGAAAGGGAAAAGTTTAATTTGTTGGGTTATTGTAGTCTAGCCGAGTATTTCTTAACCAAGCTAGCATTAAGCTAAGCTAGCAGCGAGCTAAGCAGTTAGCTCGCAAAGTGAAAACTAACTGAAACTGTTAAGAAAACGGAAATGTTTAACTTGACTATTTTTAGCTTTGGTAATATACTATGATATGCAGTTTATACGTATAATTAACATATTTTCATGATAGTCATTTTAACATGATTTTCTGTTCAGGCATTAACAGGATACACTCATTAAATACTGTCTCAAACATTTATCTCAAACTCTTTATTGAGGAGATATTTCTGCATCATTTGAAGTCTACCTGTGTATTATTGTCTGCTGTCTGCTGGTCACTTTGAGGGCTTGATGGGCATTGAGATGACGATGAAAGTGTAGCAGGTGGTGAGGAAGATGAAGATGAAGATACATCGCTCTGTGAGTGTGTTTTCTCTTTGCTTTTTGAACGGCCTGACTCAGACAGGTCTAACGGTGCTTCCTCTTCATCCTTTCTCAGTTTCTCTCCAAAAATCCTCTCTGGCTGCGTTGCTGAGACCTTCCACTGGGGCGGCGCTGTAACGGCTTCTGTCACTCTCTTTTCTCTACTCTCTGCATGCTCTGACAGGTTTCTGCAGGACCAGGGCCGCAGACCGCTAGGTGTTGGGCCATGTGTGCGAGACTGGTGGCCACTGCTTGGTGGGACCAGTTTAGGGAAACGCAGTATGTTTGAGCTGGGAATTGGGGTCTGGCTTGGGTGAACTGCTATCCCGCTACCAACAGCAGAGCCGCCCGCTGCTACCGTTACCCAGTCAGTAGATTCTGAGAGCGACCACGGGATAGACAGGCGGCCGTTCTTGATCGGAAGTGGGCGGAAGGGGACGGGGGCGTGGATTTGTTGCCGGCTGCTACGTTCCTCAGAGGCAACAGAAGAAAAAACAGGATTGTTCTTCAGTAGACTAAGAGGAGATGGAAGAGAAGGAGACAAAGGGGAATGTCTGTGCTCAACCGAGTCAACACTGGAAGATCTGTGGATGTATGAGGAGAATAATTAAGATGCGTCACCGTAAAGGAGACATATTATGCCCCTTTTTACAATATGTAATATAAGTCTCAGGTGTCCCCAGAATGTGTTTGTGATGTTCAAGCTCAAAATACCCCACAGATCATTTATTATATAATTTCCACTCAAATGCCTATTTTGAGTGGAAGCAGAAACATGCTGTTTTCGTGCAT